CGTTTTACATCGTACAATTTAGTTTTTATGTTTTAAAACACAGTGCATTGTGTTAGTATTAATTTTATTGGATTAAACATGGCGGACTAATGAAATGTCGAATAAGGTTTTTTCGAGAGAATAGGTTTTTTGCCGCGCGAATCGTTTCGAGATTAATTATTTGTACTTAAGAAGCGTGCGCCCGTGAAGATCGTCGTAGATAATTTGCCGCGGCAATTTATCGTAATTAGTATGGATATTATTAGTCGCGCGCACGATTAATTAACGACCTCGTTCGCGGAAAGATGACTTCGGTATCGGGAATTGAATTAGACAGAATAATTGTGAAACTTGCGAGGCAGATGATGAAATTACAAAGCGGAAAGTTAACGACATTAGCTACGGCGTTAAAAGGAATTAGACAGTCGTTGGAGAATTCGTAACACACGACGAAGAATTAATTCGCAATGTGTTAACGTCGCAGTTCACATGCGTCGCGGGATTGATCCCGCGCATTGGAAAAGCGATTTCGCATTTGTTCGACTAATACGTCGTTTTAATTGCCTTATCTCCACCATTATTCGTTCTTGCGCTTCTTATTCTCTTCATCGTACACCAAATAACGCGCATGTCGCAATATTTCCTTCTGATATCGCGTCGCAATATTTTAATGATTACGATAAATTACACGTAAAAGCTGAGAATTATCCTCGCAAACGGTGAATACGTTTTTGTTTTTTTGTGAATAAAAAGAAAAGGAGTAACATGAGCGACAGCAACATTTGATTAACAGATTGTATCGATGTGGCGTTTAAAAATATTTTGTTATTTGTTCATTTATATTATATAAATAAAAGGTGCGAATGGAAAAGCGACGTATTGATCGAAAACAAAAATTTGAGAAAAAGAAAACACGATCCAAAATGTCACGTTTATTAACATAGATAAAAATACATTTAAAGTATTACGTACGGTTGATAACAAGATGAAGTTTTATGAAACTTTATATTTACTGAAGGCGCGTTATTTTTATCATTATGTACGACAAGTCGTACGATTGTTCGACGGAACGTCTCGCTCGTTCGTATAATTTTGAAAGTAATCCTCATGCGCGTCTTAGCTTTATTTTACGAGATTTGACAGCTGAAACAAGAGAGTGAGAAATATATACCGAAATCACAATGTAGCGCGGTGACACGTGTACAAATAACGCGTATCGCGTTCGCGCACATGTGTCGCGCGACAGCGATCATTTGTTATTCCAGCGAGTTAATTTCGATCAATCGCAGCCGCACGGTAGACGAAGCGATTCCCGCCGAGGATAACAGACCTGTTAGTCTCGTGTTAAGACTACGCGAACGATAAAAGAAGAAGGGGATTGGACGGCGGTGGTGCGAGCGAGAGGGAGAGAAGACGAGGCAGACACGATCCATTAGTAGGCACGTCAATTCACCTCTTAAGAAGCGACTTAAAGCCGCTTCCACCTATCTCTCCCCCCATTCCTATTTTTCCTCTCTCTTTTTCTCTCTCCCGTTTCTCCCGTCCCTCTTTCGTACTTATTAGTGGCGGCTGGTTCCATCGAGTTTTAACCTGTTCTTTCTTCTCGCGAGCGCGCGCTCGTTCGCGCGGTATCATAATTAATGATAATTCGATTAGCGGGACAAGAGATTGGGTCTCGGAGTTAAGCAGCCTCTGTCTTTTTCACAAAATATTTTTCTCTCTTTTTGCGATTGGTCCTTTCCCCGCTAGACCTCTACGGTCTAGTTTCCTTCAAAAATGATCAACGTTAAATCCGTTGGAATATAAACGCCGACAATTAATCCCACGTCGAACATATTAGGATTGACAGGCTCATTCGGGCTTGTTATAGTTCGGAATCGGATAAAAAAGACTTGGCGACTTTACTTTTCCAATTCGATATAGTTTTCCTCGTCGACGCTTTCGCTTCTAAGACGATTATGTGTGTATGTGTGACGTTTGATTTAAATTAAACAATTGCACAAAAGTTGTTGTCACGCATAGAAACACACACGTTGTGTTTGAAGATATTTTGTACTTTATGATACATACTGTGTGTACACTTCAATGAACAAATCTCATCTACATGTGTGTGTTGAAAAGTTGAGCATCAAAATCTTGAAGTTATTACAAGCTACTCTCTCTCTCTCTCTCTCTCTTACCGAATCTCAAATAAATCTAGGTAATTGCTATCGATCTACTGAAATGCAGAACTACATTATACGTGTGGTTCAGTTTCATTAGTTTCATTTCGTTTATTATTAACGAAATCGATTAAGCGGATATTCTCTAATGAATTTCTCTACTGGAGATTCTAGTGAAAATTTATATCTCTATTATTATATACATTCTATTATTCCAATTATTTATATGGAAATGTGAGTAAAAGGATTAATTGGCTCTGTTGCTCCGAGATTCTTGCACACGGTCAATTGATTTTACTAACCGAGTTCGCAAACATAAGACTTATGCAAAGCGTATACGTTGATAAAACGACGCGAATGAATGATGTGAAGAGAGTAATTTGCGATCAACTGACATATATATATGTACATATATAAACCACCGCTATAAGCGCTCGATACCTCACGCAAAGACATTAATGTCATTTGCCGGTTTCGCAGCGATTACGAGAGCCAACTGTATCGTGACAAACAATAAGACATCTCGGTTGACAACTGCATTAACCGTTTGCAAACCCGTGCATATCGATCCGCAACGCGACGCATGTTTAATGCGACAAAAAAAAAAAAAAAAAAAACGAAAATGCGATTCCGACGACGCTAATTTATATCACTTATGCCGCTGAATATCCGATAGACGTTCGCCCCCATTTTTTTCACTCATACCCACCAATAATGGCAGCGCCGGCACAAAATTGTTTTGTCGATTCCGACCCTTCCGCCGAAAGTGTTGCGTCGATAACTCGCGCCCTCGCCTCACGTTGTGTATGCGCGCACTTTCCAGAATGACACGAACGACAGTTCGCGGGCAGTGCAGGCAAAGCCGAGACGAAAGTGTCTCGAAACAGGAATTATCGGATATACGTTTCATTGAACGATACAATACAAACCCGCCGAATGTTCGGCATCGATTTCGATCGCTCCCTTTGGGCTCGATTTCGACGGACAAATTAGCGCCCGTCCGAGTTCGTAGAACAAGATCGTCGCGATACTAACGATTTTCCAATTATGAGCTTAACTTTGCTGACAAATCTTCCCCGTATATACCGTGTATAACTGACGCGCGCGCGTCAGAGGGGACAATTTTGGTTCCACGTGGAAAATCGAAGGCCAGGTCGGTCTCAGAATAATTGAACGGATGTTTGAGATCTAAGCGATAATAACGCGTTAATAACGTTTTAAAAGAGAAAAGAAAAAGAGAGAAAAAAAAACATATGAATCTATGCGGTATGCGTTCCGGAGTTTAACTCGAGTAATCTCAATTACATTTGCGATCATATAGATCGCATTTAAATGTATCCGTCATTGATTTTGTAATGATTGAATATTGTCTGCGGTCAGCTGGTTTCCCAACCGTTCGGTCCGCAAATTCACCGATGTGTGATCGATATACATGGCGAAGTATTTCAAAAGCGACCGAAATTATTTCGTAATGGTAACTGAACTAAAGTAGAGGTTGCATGTGTGTCTCGTTAGACTAAAATTTTCCATTGGAGTGCAGCGTGAATTAAAGCAGCGGTAAGGTATAAATGTCTTATAAAAGTGAAAAAGTATAGCATATAGAGACGGTAAATTGATCTCATCAGCACGGTAGAAAATCACGCAACGAGCACCGGTTGTTATCTGCGGATCTAGATCTGCACAATTCTGTCTGTGACTTTAACGCGTCATTTTATTGGATCGTAATGTTTTTACCGATACATATACGTTGTATTATACATGTCATATAGTTTCCACTTTATATATATATATATATATATATATATATATATATATGTATATATACACGATAGTTTAATAAAAACTATTAATTTCCTTTTATTGAACAATTATTGTGCCGTTTATATCCGAGCATCCCAATTATATCGACTCTACTCGACTTTATGATATTTTATTACGTTACACACCGCGTCTCAATTGTTCTCTTTTTCTTTTTTTTTTTTTAATTCTATCCCTTTATCGCGTATCCTTGGGGATGTACAATAACACAATATGTATAGAAACCGGCCACACATCGACCGAGCGCGCAACCCCAGCGATAATTAATCGAAACTCGATCACGCTGCATTACTGGCCGTAACGCAGCTGCCAGACGGAATAACAGAGAGCTAACTCGCGGCGGTTGATCACGTCTGTCCGGCAGAATGCAAGATTCAAACGGACAGTGGAACGGTTTAGTCTGCTAATAGAATCAATCCGCAAATGTGAAAAAATGATTGGGTCGCGCGAAAAAGTACACACTACACGGCCCGTCGCTCGGAATTCGGTTGCCGGTTCTCCTCGCCGCCATTAATTATTTGTTTTGTGGGGTAGTGTGATACCAGTTTAACACACCTAAATATATTTCGAACGGATTTCTTTGTTGCATTTATTAAACGCGTCTGTAAACAAAAAAAGAAAAAATCGCGAGCGATTTGCGCGGATCTTGTTTGTCTGCGAAGAGATACGAAAATTGATGGATACATCTCCGGTGAACAACTGTAAGAAACGAGCTGTAAAACGTGCAATAATACAAGTCTAATTACAAAACACACAATACTAGCGCACAGCCGCGAAGAAACCGCGACGGAAGAAAGTGATTAATTGAAACGGATGACTGCGAAACTTCTTTGCTAAGCGGGTTTCGAGAGGGTGTTTCAAAATTGTTTTCGCGAAGCTTTGCATTTCGTACGGTTGATTTCTCCAAAATGAGTGAATTCCAATTTAAGACGAAACTTCATTGCGACGGCGCGAGCAATGGAATCTTTTGTTAAAACTTATTTTTTACATTTTACTCGGGAATTTAAATCGTTAATAAAATTTAGTAGTAGATATTGGTACCAGTATTTTCCTGCGCGTCGCGTCCGGCGTCTTCCATCTCTTGATGAGTTCTTTTATGACTGGCCAATCCGAGGATCGCATCGATGCTGTGTCTTGGGGTGCTGCTGGCCGGTTTCGGTAAGACGATGTCCTGACTATTTTGAGAAGCTGTGTCGACGAGCTGCTGAGAATCCATTGTCGGAAACTCGTTCGAAGAAATAAATTTTTCCCAAAGGGTTTACTTCGAGAGAGTTGTTTTTTTGAATCAAACCTCCGAGTAAGGATCCCGTGAATAATTCTGCGGTTGTAGAAGACACTAGAGCTTAGCGATCACGCGGCACTCACACGTGTTCTTCACCGTGAAGTGCATCTCGACCAGACACAACATCGCGCACTCCTTGAGAAATTCATCAGTTTTGACAAGTGTCTTTCAAACTTGGACACACGGCATTTAAAGTGTCTGAGGATTTAAAGTTCTTATTAGGATTGCTAAGAGGAAAAGTTAACTCGGTGTCAATCGATTAACGAGATCATGTCATAATTGAATCTAGATGTATCCGTTGTGTAATGTTCGATCTATGTCGCGCAAATTGAACAAAACTCATTCAATACGCAAGATTAGGGATTCGTAACAAATCCTCGTAGTCACTTATCACCTCTTCACAAATCATAGTACAAATCATGGCACTCTCATGGAGGTTATCCTGTTGACACGAAACCGATCTGTCTCTTCTAACATTATTAGTCAACAATAAGAGATAGATGGATTCTGCTTCATTGAAATTTTCCCGGAAATTCACCACTGATCCCAATCAATTCCCGAGAACAAAAAGTGCGTTGGTTTTTTTTTTTTTTTTAACTATCGTCTGTTATCACATCGATTATTGTCCCGAGCCCTCAACAAATTCTTGAACTAATCCGCGACAAGCTCCTACTCGATCCGGGAAAAGTAAACTCGCCTACGGAAGGGAATCTTCTTCGATTTTTTGACGAGAACGTACCGAGACTTGGTTCCCGCTCATTCACTTTCGCAGGCGCCAGATGGCTAGATGGATAGAATCTTTCTCGTTAAGACCGAAGCTCTTGAGCGTGCGTCGTGTCAACGAGGACTAGCCGGTCGTCGTCTAACGGGGTGGCCTTTGTTGCAGCTGTACACAACTACTCCCAGAGAGACTCACTCTTCGGTGAAAGAGGTGGTCCGGGCCACGAGCCGCGCGGGGGCGTGGCTCGGCTCAACCAATCGACGAGGCCGCTCGTCGGGTTCGCCACCAATCGGAACGCGAATTCGGGAAGATGGCGAGATCAGTGGTGCTCAATCGCCGAGTTCAGGGGTAACCCTCACTTCACAGTATGAGGTAGCCGCAGGGGTTGCGGAGGGTGGACGGGCGCCCATGACGTCTCGACCCCACCAACGTGTACGTGTGAGCAGCTTGGTGGTGTTCGCGCCAGGATGCTTGTGAATGTTACGTGCATGTACGAGAAAGACGAGCACACGGGGGCGAGAGTAAGCTCGCGCGCACCGCGAAGGGGTGGTTCACCTAAACAGAGGCGGATGGTACACACACGCGGCCGGAGTGGGTTGATTCTTGCGGCGGATTCTGGCATCCCCTGTAATTGCCAGAAATGAGGTAAAGCTTACCGCTTACGCCAAGCCTCCTACGCTTCTGAATGCCCCGCAGATTCGCGGAACCTTACGCGCTGCTGTTGTCGCGACGCATCTGTGCATCAACTCGACATTAAGATGGAGTTTGACAGCGACCACGAGAAAGTTTTGATTTTTTTTTTTTTTTTTTTTTTTAATCAAAACACAATTAGCGCGAGACACATTTTGTCACGTTTATAGTAACGAGGATTCATCGAATTTACTGAAAGTTTGCGCGTCATAAGAAGAAAAACTTGTATTTGCATTTGTACAACGACTCTTTCGACGGCAAAATATTCGTTTTGCAAACAGGTTATTGCTGCGCCAGATTGACGAATGAAAATATTATTCCTGCGTGAATCTCATTTGCGAAATTTAGTGCAATACAATAAAATAAAGCCTTGGTTGCTTTATTGGCTATGTGTAGCTGAATTGTTGGTGTATTTACGTAATATCAATTTGATGATCGCGTATGTATATTATAGCATTGTGTAAACACGCGTACGTGCCAACCCTTCGATCGCGCAAACATATCATAAATTGAAATAAATTGTCTCATTCCCCATTTATAAAAATAAAAATATCATGTTTGTAGATTCGCAATAACTGTCAGAGTTAATAGCGCTCTTCGAGCTTACAATATGCAGTGTGTAGCAATTACATCACTTACAAAATACGCTACCGTAAACACTTCTTGCATCATACATGCGCGTAAGTGAATGTCGGTGTGAAAATCGTTCGTACAATAAGACGGCAATTTATTTCGATGAAAAACAGTTTTACAATGTTTTTTCGACGAATTTTTTTTCCCACTGTTGTATTTCCTTCCGCAAACCCCCAAAATTAGCTTGGCGACAAAGAGACGAGAAGTGGACGTTTTCCGGTTACCAGAATGGCGGATCCGGGTTGGAAATTGTTTCTTTTTTCGCCGGCGCGCCGGCCGAAAACCGTGCGCACAAAACGAATCCCCGTTTCCCATTCCACGTTCGATTCCGCGTATCGTCGTTACCATTTGGCGTTTTAGCCCGGGGGGAAGTGTACGCCCACAAAACCGCGCCACAAAAGATATCCGCCTGTAGCGAAACAGTAGCTACTCAAAATCGATCCGACTAAATCCAGGCAAATTATACGTTGCGGGCGAGAGAGCTCGCGTTCTTCCGTTATAGAAAAGACCCACTCGCTCCGCGCCGAAAATGCACCACCATTGTAATCCGATTGCGCGATACACGTATTGCACCTCGCGGAAAAGAAGAAAAAAAAAAAAACAATTCACATTTGTCGCGAGGATGAATCACAATGGAAAAGCAGTACGTGTGCTGACATTGCGTATTATTTACAATTTACACATCTGCGTGCGTGCGATGATGTGTGTATATACAATGCGCAGTTTGATAATGAAAAAAATTCCAAGAGTATAAAAAAGTTAACAAAATTCTATACATCTCAGCATTATAAAAATTATCTGTACTTGTTTTCACGAAGCAATTCTTTTCTTATTTTTGCTTCATACCGCAGATACAAAAGAAACGGAAAGGCAAGACGTAATAGAGAATCATTATCAAATCAATTAATTGAAACAATGCCTGGCGTTTAGATCGCGTTTGCGAAGATCGTTCAAAGGTGTGTGTTTTTCGGGCGTGTGTAACGTGCACGCGCACATGCGAATATCCCGCGAACAATTTCGACACAACGCCATTTTCATCGGCGTTCAATCTCCGCTACGAATCTGTCTCGCGGCCCCCGTGGGACTCGGAGCGAGCGAGCGAGGAAAGCTTTTTAGAGGTCCCGCAGTAATCAGATCACGAGTTGCATTTAACCGGATCCCACTTACTGCGATAAATATCTAACGGGTGGGATCGACGCGAGAGCTCAGCTAGATTGGGTGCGTTTCGTCCCGATCTCTGTTCGCTTTCCCGAGGCACTTAGCTCCAGTTTTAGCTAATTTCCCAGACAGTGATCTTTCTCTCGGTGAATTCTTGAGAGGTTTCGAAGTAAAGCCAGGTAGCCGCGCCGTCCGTTAAACGTTTCAACTTAACCGGGGGAAGCTGACAGCTGACTAACGATTTTTTTAAAAGAAACGGGAGCTACGATGGTTGACGTGTATAATTTCGTGTTATAGAGAGATGTGAGAATGACTTTTAATTTTATTAAAATGAATTATGTTATTCGGTCTCGATAAGGGATCCAACTTTTATGTGATGTTAAAAAATGAGTTGTTAAAAAATTAATTAATAATTCTATTTTTATAAAATGTATATTTATTATATTGTATAAAATATATATTTATCGTTAACTTCTTATAGAAAAAAAAAATTAAAGTGAAAACACAAGAGTATGTAGCAAAAACTTTTAGAGATTACTTTTAAAGATTTTAACAGAGTTAAAATCTTAGTTTATATTAAAATCTTAGTTTATATTAAGTTAGTTTATATTAAGAGAGCGTGTGGGTGTGTGTGTGTGTGTGAATGCATACTCTACACTTTTCAGAATATAAAGAGAATCCGATATACTATCTCAACGCGACGTTTTCGTAAACTGTATAAACTCTCTATTCTTCCTCTATCACTCGAGGTCCATCGAAAGCGGATCGGTCCGAAATTACCGTAAATTCGGCTTCTGTGTGCTCAGATTTTCTTATTTGAATTCTCCGCGACATGTCATTGTGGCGTGTTTTCTTATAGATCCATCATCGATTTTCTATCGGTCGTTCACAATGGCACGTGTGCGTCCTCGGCCGTCGAAAGGAGCATCGCCGGGATCTCAAATGCTTTTTCGACAACGTGTCGTTTGCAAATCTGACGCGAGCGCCCAAATCGACGAACCACAAAGAGACGGCCGCTCTACCGTGTCCCATTCTTGAGTTGCCTCGCGCAGAGTGCAGCTGGCCCCACACACGGGTCCGCGATGACCAAGATAAGTCTAATTTCGTTTTCGGTGGCCCGGACACGAAAATCCGCTACAAATTTTCTCTCCTGAATCTCGTTCCCTTCCTCGTTCTCTCTTGAGACTCGTCTCTCGAGGTGCGAATTGAGACGAAGCGTGGAAATAAAGGACAATCCCGTTTTTCTCAAGAATGAGTCTCTCACCGCGGGATCTTGCTGATTCGTCACGAAAAAGCTTGTTTGGGGTGCGCGGTAGCCGTTTCCGCGTTTTAGCTGTTTTCGCTTCCATTGTAAAGACGGTCGGACGGATTTCACGACAGGTTTTGAGAAAACTCACAGCGGGTGGCGCTCTTTGAGGTCGGATCTGAGGATTTCTATTCGCCTAATCCGTTGTGCACAATGAGTGCACAAGTGAGAACATCGTATGAAGATCCTCCACGTTTTGGCTCGTGCAGTCTCGCACGAGAGAGGGGAAGACGAACGACGGGACCTTCAAGGTGACGACGGGACTAAAACAAAGAGTTTGTACAAAATTGTCCAAACAAACTGAAGATTACAAAGTAATTGACGCGTATGTTAACGAAAAAAATAAAACAGTAAGGACAAATTTGAATTCTTCTCCGCGAGTAAAGTACTTGGAGAAAGCAAATTGGCTTTCGATTATCCGAGGTTTTATATTGACACGAGAAAAAATTTCGGCGGTTCTGTTTCACGTAAAGAGCAAAGTGTAAAACATCACGGTGCGGCAGAAGCAGCAGCACATCCTCAGGCACGATGAGAACCGCTGGGACTGCATATCCAGAGAGCAAATTACGTTTGCAGCCCACAGGACAGAGTAGCGCATCTCTCTGTTCCTCTCTCGCAGTGCACATTCGCTCCGTCCGACCTCCACTTTCCCCTCCTCTTTCTCTCTCTTTCTCTCTCTCCCTCCCTCCCTCCCTCCCTCCCTCTCTCTCTCTCTCTCTTTCTCTCTGTTACTCTTTGCTTGCTCTGCTTTCCTCTTGCCGCTTTTCATCCGACCCCAGCTCTTCCTCTTTCTTCGTCTCTCTTCTCACTTTCATCAACCGTCTCGCTCTGACTAGTTTCCTCCCGCTCCTCCTCCGGCGGCTCCGCCGTGGTACTCCAGCTTAATTAACTGTGTATACACTGCAGTCAACTCCTACCGTTGTCTTGCTCCCGCCAATTGGAGCTCGGGCCCCGAGTTCTCTCGTGCCTCCACACGCCCGCAACGCCGACACACGCCGGGGGTATCCTCCGTTTAATTCTCGCGGCATGATTTCATCAAGTCAACCATCTCTGTGCCGTCTCGTTCTCTCGCTCCTTCTCTATCTCTTCTTCCCCTCTCTCTCTCTCTCTCTCTTTCTCTCTCTCTCTCTCTTTCCTTTCTCTCTCTCTCTCTCTCTCTCTCTTTCTCTCTCTCTCTCTCTTTCCTTTCTCTCTCTCTCTCTCTCTCTCTGTTTCCTTTCTCTTCGTATCTCACACTCGCGCAGTAACTTCTCATTTTAGAACCTCACGGCCTTCGCCGCCGTGACGAAGATTATCGTTACCATAACGAG